GGGTGATTTGCGGATTTCATGTAGTAGAAGGGCTGATTTGCGGATTTCATGTAGTAGAAGGGCTGATTTGCCAGTGTTTCTTGTACAGGGGCTGAATTGCCACAACATTGCAGGTACAGGGGCTGAATTGCACCTTCTGCCTATGATGGCATGATTGATCTAAGTAGAGTTTAATTGATCATGTAAATTAAAATTTAAAGAAATTTGACCAGGCTAATGAAATTGATTCCAGGGTTTAACTTTAGCTTATTTGGTCTGTGAGCTCACGGGAAGAAGGGGGAAGGGAGGCCCTGCCCTATGGACCTGGTCAACAATCTTTATAGTTTTTAATAATTTTGTCCTTGGATGTGGACAAGCGTAATAAAGAGGAGCAGGAGCAGACTGACCTACTCTGTTGACAAAAACTCAAGAAAAATCCGATCAGCAAAAGCTAGAAATTTCTTACAATTATCCATTACTGGACTGATTTTGAGACGCATTTTTCTATAATCATCAAAATCATCTCTGGAATTCTGCAGTCATAAAATTGGCCACGGCTTTGGGCATCATGTTCTCCAATTGAAAAATGAATGGGTGGGCCTTCTTACATGTTTGACTACCATTACCAAACATTGGGTTAACGTGAAACAGTTGGAACAATCGCTGTTTTGTTGGTTGAGAATGTTGGATGTGATTAAAACTAATCTGAAACAAGGGAAAGGAATATTAGGTAAATCTGATCAATTACTTTATATATGTTGCTAGTCCAATGAAATTACAACTTGGGGTTGGGCAACTACTCCTCTCTTTAGAACCAAGCATTTGCTTTATCCTCTTTGCAACATTGGGAGGATATAAATAACATGTCCTCAGCTTTTTCTTTCTTTCCTAGTTTTTCTGTTTGAACTTTGTTTTCCAACTTCTGCCTAGAGTCATCCTTCTTTCTTATAAGTTATTCTGACGGCAAACATGGTAATTTTTTTTTAAAAATAACTAAGGTTTATTGTATTATTCTTCATATACCTAACACCAAAAAGCATTGTTGAGTACAAAAGAATCTAAAAAGAATGTGCTTTAGAGTTAAGTGCATATAATTTGCTTTAAGTATCCTTATACAAGGTTGTTTGGTACTTAACATCGTATCTTAATTAGCTAGTTACAGCTCACTCAGGAGTAAAGTTGGATGAATCCGAATGGACTAATCTAGTATGTACCATTGAGATCGTGATTTTTTTTTTTTATGGGCATAAATTTCATTACAACATTTGAACATACATCAATCAATCATCATCCTAAATATTAAAATAAAATCAAATTTAATTACTTTTAATAAACCAAGATAAAATTAAATCACAATTTATACTAAATAAAACTTAAACTTAAAATCTAGGTATTAAAAGTCTATGTTAACTACTAAACTAAAACTTTATTAAGAGAGTCGTTATTGTTACATGTTTTTTTATTAAAGTTATACAATCACACATATAATTACTTTTAAAAGTATTAATTTTGTTTAGTATTATTCTTAAAAATAATTGATAAAAATAATTGATAATTGTAGTTATTAATTAAAAAGATAATAATAGTTATTTACTCAATAAAATAAAATTAATTTATAAATTAATATTTTTGAAAGCCATAACTAGTTACTTAAAAAAACATTGCAAATTAATAAAATTTATGGAGACATACCCAAAAACACTATCGTTTGTGTAATCTTAATTTTTTTTTTTTTTTGTGGCAATAATCGTGGTACGTCGTTGCTGGATATCACGGATTGTTTTAACTTTTAATGACAATGATGTTACTTATCTTCTTTCACGCTGTCTCCATGTTCCTTAGGCTTAGTCTAGACAAGAAAAAGGGGTGGGAGCAAGATGAATAAATATCGATGGCTCGTGGCTTCATGCTTACCACAAACACTATGCATGAGTGGATGCTATTATTATTACATTGTATTAGACCAAAACTTCATTAAGGGTATAATTATTGCTACACACTTTTTACTGAAGGCCACACAGTAATACACAATTGCTTTTAAAAATATTAATTTTATCTAATATTATTCTTAAAAATAATTAATAATTATAATTATTAGTTAATAAAATAATTAATAATATTATTAAAAAATTACAAATTAATAAAATTTACGGAGACATACACAATAACACTATCATTTGTGTAGTCTTAAAAAAAATATATATATATATATATTGTGGCAGTAACCGGGCCACTTCATGGCTGGATATCACAAATTGTTTTAACTTTTAGTGATGATGTTACGTATCATCCTTTACTCTGTCCCCACGTTCCTTAGGCTTAGTCTAGACAAGAAAAAGCAATGGGACCAAAGTGAATAAATATTGGTGGCTTCTTGGCTGCATGCTCACCACAAACAAAAGCAGTGACAGTCACAGTACTGATTTAGGTGGAAATCTCATTAAAGATTGGCAAAAACATACAGATTGGCCCCTCAACTTGTCGATTGATGGCAAGTCATCCCCTCAACTCAATTCAATGCAAACTAACCTCTCAACTTGTTTGCAATGGCAAATTCGCCTCTTTGTTTAGCCTAACATCATCAATCCGTTAAGTTTTAACATTTCTCTTATCAGCCTCTCCTTTGCGTCTGACTTGGATATTTTTTTTGCTAAGATTGATGCTTTGTTGGAGGCTTTGTAGGACAAATTGTCATCAGACTCATCAAAGCAAATTCTTGGCAAGGTAAAATGGCGGATGGTTTCTGAATCCCTAAAGCACGAGAAATTGAGGATTTTTCTAGGGTTAACAAGAAGATTACAAGTCCATTTTACAACACAAAACTATAAACACATAGAGAAAGTACGCATATACATAGATTCAAAGATTCTTTGAAATTTGAAAGAATCTCAAAGTCACAACTTTTAAAAGCAGTTGGTGTGGATGTTGAAGCATTAATCTTGGGGTTACTTTGGCGAATCTCAATAATTTTTTATGGTAAGTGTTACTTTATAGAATATTTACATGGATTTGCTTTGAAAAAGTGGACAATTCCTTTTTGTCATTGATCCATGGTTAAACAATTCAAAAGTGTATTCTTTTTGGCATTTACAATGCCATGTTTGTTGTGAGGTCCTATGCTTCTTGTTTGTTTTCAAACATAAACTGTTAAGTAGTCTCACGTGTTGCTTAAATTATGTGTTTCCATTTGTTTGTTTTGTTATTTTTTTCATTTGTCTTCACATGTTTGTACATTTTTTATACTTGCAAGCTGAATGCACTGGAGTGATAACCATTGATCATGGGGGAACCTTTGAGCTTGACCCACCCATTGATTATGTTGATTGTAAGTTTTCTTCATTTGGTGTGCATGAAGAAGAAGTTTCTATGACAAAAATAATTAATATGGTGCGTGGGTTAGGATATAAAAATATTTATGCCAATGCCATCTATTACAAGTCTCTTCTTGTTAAATTAGATGAATTGAAGTCACTTATTCATCCGAGTTGCATTGATGACGTTGTTATTATTATTTGGAAAACATGTGAAGTAGAGATATATTTTGACCATGACAGTGATAGTCAGCATTCTGTTGATAAGTTAGTTGGTGATGTGCATGGGTTTGGTAAAGGATATTAAGGACAAAATAAATAAATATGTAAGGGTCATTACCTAAGATACAAATGAAATTCCTGCTCCTGTAGAACACCATTATGATTTGACAGCTGATGACTCTACTGATGAAGAAAAAAAAAAAGGGTCAAAGTTGGAAGATGATTTTGCTAACCCTATCAGAAGTGATAAGGAATGTATTGTTGTTTTTAATAAAGCTAAGTTATTATTAATAAGTACAGGGGTTGTAAATCTATTTGAGCACATTGGTGAAAAGTAAATAGATATTGAGGAGCATGGAGATTAGAAGCAATAAGTATGTGATGTAGTAGCTTCTAATCCTTCTACTGATGCATTAACTTCTAATCTTTCTACAACAGTAGCAACTTCTAATATTTCTAAAGTAGATAAGGAAAGGGCAAGGAAGGAAAGAGCAGTGGCTCTTAGTAGAAAGTACAAGACACTTAACATTGCTAAGGTTATTGTTAAGGGTCAAGCCACCTCTGTTTTCACCAAGCATGTGTTACACTCTCAATTACCTGTTGACAATCATCAATATTTTGATGGGGAAAATAAAGACAATGAAGGGAGAAATAGTGATGATCTAGGCTACTTATACTCAGATCCCTCTTTTGGAGAGGAAGATGAATTCATGTGACAATTAACCTACCTCCAATGGGACCAACTAACATTTACTTCAATTTAGAGTAGGAAGTTCCTTGGTTTGAACTAGGAATGATATTTACAAATGCAAACCAGTTTAGAGATGCCATCAAAAGGTATTCAATTGTGAAAAGGTGTAAGCTAAAGCCTATAAAAAATGAGCCCCACAAATTAAGATACTGTTGTACAAGTTGAGGTTGTGAATGGGAAATTTTTGCATCAATAAACAATGAAGCTAAATGCATTTGAGTGAAGACATACAAAAGAAATCATGGCTATTTTTGGACAAGTAAAATTTCTACCATGATAATGCATGAACTTGCAAAGTATTGGAAAAGAAGGATTAGGGAAATTCTTTTCATAGGGTGCAAGTTTATGATGGAACAAACATATGTGGAGTTAAGGGTGGCTATGCATTTTGACAAATCTGTGAAGGCAAAAAGAATGATTATGAAAGGCTTATGAGACAATTTTAAGGATGAGTATGCAATGCTACCTCGTTATGCAGCTTACTTGTCAAGCCTTAATCCTAGAAATATAGTTGAAATTGTTAAGGATTTGCATGAAAATGGTGAATTTGTCTTTAAAAGAATTTATGTTTGTTTATGTGTTGTGAAGGAAGGGTGGAAAAATGTGTGCAAATATGTGTTAAGGGTGGAT